AAAACAAATTTTGCCTAGAGGGTTAATAATATTGATCTTAAAATGGTTTAAAAAAAAAATAATGTTGATTTTATTCTAGGCGAAATAAAACAAATAAGACTTTTTCCAGAAGAAAAATTTAATAAGAAATAATGTGAAAAAGTCCTTTCTCTGTTAAACATCATTTGGAAATTATTTGAAAAAAAAAAAAAAAGAAAAAAAAATCACAGGAGGGTTAATCATTTTGACTTCAACAATTTTTTTGTGTATTTTTAGTATAATTTAAACATTTGTACAGAATAATAAATATTGCTGTTGTACTGTTTGTTAGATAAAGCTGCTCGTGTTTCGTTTTTGTGGGTGTGAGACTCTGCAGTTTGTCACTGTGTCTTTTATTCTCTACCAAACGTGTTTGCAGGGCCTGAAATAGAAACACCGAATTAACCATCCTGCAGCAATTGGACCTTGGAGGAAACAGATCCTGTGCTTTCAGTCACAGCTGCTTCTGTTTAGATGTTTTACACCAATTGCCCTCCAGTTGCTGCGAGAGAGTGAACTCTTTTTCTGAGCAGTGGGTTTCCTCAAGGTCTTCCTTTAGCTTTGCTCTTTTCAAAGCGTAGTCATCTTGAATCAAGCTGCAGCTTCTAGTTTCAAATATTTCCTTTGGTAAACAAGGGATTGGAGAATTCAAAATGGTGTGTGTTCTGTTTATGAAAGCAACAAGCACTATGTGTACAGTACACATTGGGCTAATTTCCTGATTAGAAGCCAAACATTTTCAGGAGTTCTCATAAAACAAGGCAGATAATTTAGTCCATAGTTATGTTTCTACCCTGTTAACAAATTTTGGAAATTACACAGCATATAACTGTATTATGGATTGAATTTTACTGTAGGACAATTATGCGGTATGTTACTGTGTTTTAAAGTTGCGTTGTGAAAATGATGATTTACAGTAAAGACTTACAATGCAGTAAATACATATACAGCAAGATAAATAGTGCTTTAAATGTAAATACAGTATTTTTGCTGTAATTGATATACGGTATGTTACTGGCAGGCTACTGCGCTACAAGCTACACAGTTAATTTTTGTAAATTACACAGTATTTACCTAATATGAACAGAATTTTACTGTAGGACTGTTATGAGGTATGTTACTGTCTTTTAAAGTTGTAAAACACAGTATTTTTGCTCTGATGGATTTACAGTAAGTTACTTGCGGACTGCTGCACTACACAGTTAACAATTGTTGTAAGTTACACAGTCTTTATCTGTAATATGAACTGAATTTTAATGTAGGACATATATACACTGTTACTGTATTTTAAAGTTGCATTGGGAAAATGACTGTATATTTTACAGTAAAGACATGCAATGCAGGAAACACATATACAGCAAGATAAATGGCGTTTTAAATGTAAACAGTATTTTTGCTGTTATTAAAGAGCCCATATTATGGGTTTTTGAAAATTCCCCTCCATGTAGTGTGTAACACAGCTCTAAGTGAAGTAAAGTATCCAGCTAAGGCTTAAATCTGTAAGAATACAGTGTTTAAAACTGTTGATTCATCTATAAAAGAGTCGACTCATAGTGCTTCAAACGAGTCGCCTTGATACCGATTCATTAGGTGTTTCGCCATGACGTACGAACGAAACCAAGTTATTCACGTGCACGCGCAAACCCCGGAGATTTCAAACCTGAGGCCCCGCCCTCTGACGCAGAAACCCAGACACACACACACCCACACACCCACAAACACACACACACACACACACACACACACACACACACAAACATGCCGGTCGATTGAAGTCACACTGCAGATGGATATATTGAGTCTCTACCCAAAGATGAAACCTCAGCATTATAGCCAAGCAGTTGGAAACTACTGGAAACTTCTGGAAACTACATGCTACAAAGAATACTTCATCAGCGTTTGTTAAAGGAAGGATCAGTAAAGAGTAACTTACTGCAGGACGTCAGGATGGATTTTTCTTCCTCCATTTCTCAAGTGTAAGTACGTGCGGTTAAAGTTGTTGCCTCGTTTACTCTAGCTTGCAAATGTATTTAGTTGTGATTTGTTACTTGTAACCGCGTGTACTGTTTCAGGTTAACTGGCTATATTCTCTTATCGCGTGCAAAGTCACGTTAAAAACGCGACGCGTGCTGCTTTGTTAACGGAGCTCCGTGGACGATGAGAAGTGTGTGTGTCTGTGTGTGCGTGTGCGCGCGCTGTCGTCCGGAGGTGTGTGTGTTTGTGTGTGTGTGTGTGTGTGCGCGCGCGTTGTCGTCCGGAGCAGGGTTAAGTGCGTGTGTGTGTGTGTGTGCAATATGTGTGTGTGTGTCTGTGAAAAGAGCAGAGTGAGAAGCTAGGAGATCTCCTCAACTGTTTTTGGAGTTTTTGCTCAATAAAATAGTCAGTCGTCTGAATTTTCAAGTCCATAGTCTGTATTTACATTGACCCACTGGCAGCTAAAATCCACGCCTACACTATCGAGCGTGTATGAACTGTGATTACTTTTATATTGCTGATTAGCTGTTTGGCTTTTCACTCTCTGACTGAAGGCAGTCGACCAATCGCAACAGGCTGTCATTGGTCCAATCAGCGCAGATTAGCTTCGCGCTAAGGAGGGGTTTGGGAACAAATGAATCACTGGACGATTCATACAGGAGTCGCTGGGATAATTAGGTAAAAATAAATGCAGATTATAAGACCATGAAAGTGTTTTTTTGACCTTGCATGCATATTAAACTGTTGTTGGAGACCCTTACAACCAAGATATGACCCTATTTCATGTATAATATGGGCTCTTTAAATGACAGTAAGTTACTTGCAGACTGCTACACTACAAGCTACACTATGAACTGAATTTCACCGTAAGACAGTTATGTGGTATATTACTGTATTTTAAAGTTGCGTTGTGAAAAGCTACTGTATATTTTACAGTAAAAGCATACAATGCTGTAAATACATACAGAGCAAGATAACTGGTGCTTTAAATGTAAATGCAGCATATTTGCTGTAATTGATCTACGGTAAGTTACTGACAGACTGCTGCACTTAAGCTACACAGTAAACAATTTTAGTAAATTACATAGAATTTAACTGTAATATGAACAGAATTTTACTGTAGGACATTTATGTGGTGTTTTATTATATTTTAAAGTTGCATTGTAAAAATTACCGTATATTTTACAGTAAAGACATACTGTACAATGCTGTAAATACATATGCAGAAGGCAACATCTAATGTAAATATCTATGCGAAAAACAAGTGATCAAAACATTTATTTGACACAGTGATTATATATATATATATATATATATATATATATATATATATATATATATATATATATATATATATATATTTTTTTTTTTTTTTTTATTTTTTTTTTAAATCATATAATGTTATTTATAGTTTTTCATTTTTAAATTCTATCTCTCACAATGGAAATGCAGCTACTGAATGTTACAATTCTAGACCCCTCCATGGTTTCTAAGTAGGAGATTTTGAAAAATCACAGGGTGATCAAATACTTATTGACCTCCCTGTAAGTGCTGTTTCTTTCAAACAATAGCCATGTCAATAAAAGCTTTTCACTTATTTTTCAAGTGCCTTGGACTGCTTATTTTCTGCATGCCTTTAAAAATCCTGTATTCGAAGAGCACTGACACATTAATTACTCCTTAAGCACATTTTGGATTTTATGTTTTTTTTCTTCATACTGTATAACTTAAAACTGGAATATAGTAATATAATGTACTTCTTCTGCATTTTACATTCTGGACAAGTTGACACCAGTTGCAGATTGTATCTGCAGATTTTGGGCAGCTGGAATTTACAGATTTCTCAAACCAGCCTGTCAGTCATCCTATCACAGTGAGCTGTCGGGGTTCTGTCACTAGTGTCTGGTTTATTGTTAGTTTGGTGACAGAGCCCTGACAATCCTATTGTCTTGTCTTTTTCGAGAGCAAGAGGTTTGAGCGAGATTGAGCCATGCACTCTCTAGTCTGCATGATATGTGAAGCATGGTGTTCGAATCCTGGCACTTCTGCCTAGTCTAGTTATGTATAGCCAATTCTACGGAACCATTGCTGTAAATAAAAAACTAAATCAAAATGTAATGAGTTAATTATTTATACTTATTAAAATGTATTACAATTTATTTAGGGGTGACACAGTGGCTCAGTGGTTAGCACTGTCCCCTTAAAGCAAGAAGGTTCCTGGTTCGAGTCCCGGCTGGGTCAGTTGGCATTTCTTTTTGGAGATTGCATTTTCTCTCCGTGTTTGCATGGGTTTCCTCCAGGTGCCCCGGTTTCCCCCACAGTCTAAAGACCTGCGCTATAGGTGAATTGAATTGGATTTTCTTAGATTGCAACAGCGGAATGAACCGCCAACTATTCCAGCATATGTTTTCAATGCGTATGCCCCTTCAGCCACAACCCAGTATGGGGGAAACTAATAATAATAATAATAATAATAATAATAATAATAATAATAATAATAGTATTAATAATAATAATAAAACAACAATAATAATAATAATAATAATAATAATAATAATAATAATTAATAATAATAGTAATAATAATAATAATAATTATTATTATTATTATTATTATTGTTGTTGTTGTTGTTGTTGTTGTTGTTGTTGTTGTTTTATTATTATTAATAATAATATTATTATAATTTTTATTATTTTTATTATTATTATTATTATTATTATTATTATCGATAATAATATTTGTTTTACTTGTTTGTTTGTTTGTTTATTATATAATTATTTTTATTTAATTTGTAGACCAGTTACTTTCTTTGCAGATGCATATGGTTATTTGTTCCTTCATTTATTTTGTTAAAACATATATTATTATGAATATTATAAATATGTGCCGCATCTTTACACTAAATAAACAAAGCAGTTTTAGGTCACCCCAGCGCAGTTTACAGATGTCTTCAGGCTCTGTTGTTTTAGTGCACACTTGATTTGCAGTTTGAATTGCTAATGACCCACCTGAGCACACAAGTGTAAAATCCATTGTCCTCCATCTCTGCTGAGCGGAACCAAATGGAATCCCCCTCCTTACTGAGCCGATGACCTGAGAAGATGATTGGCTCCTCAGAATCGCCCTTGTTCCTGTACCAGATGAGCCGCAGCTTGGCATTTTGGGCCACGCTATAGTTGGTGCGAATGTAGCTGTAGAACAGAGCACATTTAACCCTCAGTGGCTCTCCTGCCAGCACACGATACGTCTTCAAGTCCACAGACCAGTCTATACATCCGTCAACTGTGGGAGAAACAGACAAATGAATTGATTTATGAGGATAAATAAGCTGATGGATTTATTTAACATTGTGTTTTTAAAGAAACACAGGCTAAGTATTGATTTTACCATTTTTAAATGTTGGCAGGATCATTTTTAGCTTAGCTTATAGCATTGAACCACATTCGATCATTAGCATCTAGTTTCAATAATTGACTCTTCTGTACATTTTGTACTAAGATTGACAGAAATTTAAGCTGTTAGGAACTATACTGTCATTTTGGTATAATAATCAAAGAACTGCTGCTGTACCATGGCGTAATAATATTACAAAGCATCTAAAAATAGACCCAAGCTAGGTAATAGGCAAAACTGTGCAATATGATTGCATCTGCTGCAGCCACAGATCAAGTTCCTTGATTATTACTAAAGAATAAGAGTAGAGTTCCTAGATAGCCTATATAAACCTAAAAAATAACAACTTTTCATTTTTCATTACCCTTAGTACAAAATATTACTACAGAAGAGTCAAGCTTTAAATAGTAAAATTATCTATTTTTTATTGTTTGAAACAAGAGATGCTAATGGTTTATTTGATTAAATAAGTTATGCTAAGCTAAGCTAAGCTAAAAGTGCTCCTGCCAGACCTAGAGATCGGTTGATTGGTTTACAAAGTTGTAAAATGCAACCGCTGATTTGTAAAATGATTTGTGTTTAAACCTGAAAACAAAAATATTATAAAAGATGTGCTGCATCTGAAACTACGAATACTGGAAGCCTGTGCTGGCATTTCTCCTGCTATGTTGCTATCAGTGTGTGAAGAGTGGGAGAAGAGGGTTGCATTGACAATCCAACATGATGGGCAGCACATTGAACACATTTTATAAGTAGTCAGAATCTTGTTAATAACTCATGAAAGAATAAATTTACGTTAAAACCAAGCACACCATTGTTTTTCTTGTGAAATTCCCAATACGTTTGATGTGTTAAACGTAAAGTTGAAAAGTTGAATCCAAGATGGCTGACTTCAAAATGACCACCTTGGTCACCACCTATCTTGAAAAGTTTGCCCCCTCACATCTTCTAATGTGCCACAAGCAGGACGTTAATATCACCAACCATTCCCATTGTATTAAGGTGTATCTATATAAATGGCCCACACCGTATTGAGAGGTTCAAAGTTTTGAAAAATAAGATTGTGTAAATTTGAACTTTATCTAACATTATTTGAATTAACCACAAAGTACTTTGTAGAACTATTTGACTCTACTAGAATCAAGTCATAATCCAACACAATGGACTTCTGTTGTCACAACTTTCTCTCTATGGCTCTGACCAAAACAAACACACTAGCCAGTACTGTAATTTATACATATTAAACTACAATTACACCACAGACTACAGTAGTAAAAAATAAAAAATACCAGTTTATAAGTTCAATATATTTATTAGTATGATGTAGCTAGACTATAGTATGGTTAAAAAAAAAAAAAACTACTCAATTTACTATAAAAGACTATATTTCTTTTTTATGTGGGTTTATTGCATGTGTGTTAAAAATATTTGGATTGCACCTCCGCCTCAGAAAGCTTCCATTTGAAGGAATGATACAAATGATAAGGTTGTGCTACAAATGTTCCCATGTTCATACTGAAAACTGAAAGCGAGAGGTATGGTTAGCTTTGTACTCCAGTTTTACCCATTCAAAAACAATAATCAAAACATTACTTGGTGATTAAAAATGACATTAAAATAATGAGCATACTAAATTCACTTACTATCACAGATTATTTTATCACTGTATTCCCAACAGTACAGTACAAAAAAGTAAATAAGTAATACTATTGCTGCGGAAGACTGGGTTTTTAGGGTTATTCATGGTCTGCTGAAAATAATTTGTTAAATTCTAATAAGCTTCATTTTAATATGTATTGTGCAACAAATAATGCCACATCATATATATATATATATATATATATATATTTTAATCACTAATAGTTTACATTTTTGCAAACATTTTACATCCATAATAATTCAAAGCTTCATCTAGGGAAATCTATCTAGGATCTAGGAAAAATGTGTATAGACAATCCAGTCTTCCTGTATCTTGTTCAGTAGTGCATGGTGCTAAAAATGGCAAGGTCTTGAGTTTAATTTCCAGGGAAAGGAAAGATATTTAAAAAATGAGATTTATGGTCTCCATGGTGTGGAAAATGTGGATGGAATCATGGAATCCAGTCATAAAAATGGACTTTGCTATATCACGGATGTCACAGAATTTGTCACAGAAGCTTAAAGGTCTTCATGGCAGCTCTTAAAAATAAAAGCGTCGGTTGGTTTCTATTTTGGTGGCTGAAATTTAATGCATTCCTTACAAGTATCAATAAAAATAGTGAAATTGACAGATAAAGGAATTTAAATAATGTTTAAAGGGAAAGTTCACCCAAAACTAAAGATTCTGTCATCATTTACTCAATCCTCACTTTCTATCTTTAGTTGAACAGAACCAAATATACATTTTTATAGATAGTATAAAATGTGTAATCATTGACTTCTATAGTATTTGTTTTTCCTATGCAAGTCAATCGTTACAGGTTTTCAGCATTCTTCACAATATCTTATTTTGTGTTAAACAGATTAAAGAAACTCACAAAGGTTTGGAACCACTTGAGGCTGAGCAAATAGTGAGTACATTTTCATTTTTGGGTGAACTTTAAAATAAACCCATCGGGCAGGGGTGGTGATACATGCCTAACTGGAGAAAACAGTATATCCCCAGGACATTAGGCTACTGATTTTGTGAGCCCTGGAAATTTGCTTCACAAATCAAATCCTGTGGCAACAAACCACAGGTAAACAACATGTTCCTAAGTAGTGACTCAGTAATGACTAATGCAGACTCAGGCTACTTTTTGAAGTAAGCTTCCTCTTCTTTTTTTCACATTCATATCTTTACCCTCTGAAACTCTGAGATGGGATCATCGAAAGGGCAGTGTAACTTTTATACAGTATTCTCTTATTTAATAATAATAATAATAATAATAATAATAATAATAATAATAATAATAATAATAATAATAATAATAATAATCAGGTCACATTTTAATTTAAGGTGTCTTTGTTACAGTGTAACTACTATTTTAACTACTGAGTAAATTATTAATTGTACTTACTATATGGTTATGGTTATGTTTAGGGTTAGTTGCATGCATTTATGTATAATTAATTGTAAATACTACAGTAAATACTGTACATGTAACATATGTAATAAAAAAGTGTTTCCCAAAATAATAATAATAATAATAATAATAATAATAATAATAATAATAATAATAATAATAATGATGATGATGATGATGAAGAAGAAGAACAGTTACAATTTTCAGTTACCTACTGGGTAATTACAGTGTACACCCTACACTTGTATATGGTCAAGTTATAATTTTATGTGTATGTATATAAGGTTATTGTTTATGGTTAGGATAACAAACTGTATTACTGTAGGGCTTAGGGTCACTTGCAGTTGTCTCACTTGTAATTATGCAGTATTAATTGTAATTATTACAGTAGTGTATACTATAAATGTAACATATGTAAGAAGGACACCTTAAAATAAAGTGCAACCCAAAATAATAGAACAACAACTACTACTACTACCATTATTATTACACTGTAAAACCCAAAAAGTTAAGGTAACTCAAAGGAAACCGATTGCAACAAACTATTTAAGTTCAAAAACTAATCCTATTGAGTATTATTTGAGTTTAAAAAAAAACCCATATGACTACTGTGAACTTACTCCATTTAAGTTGAAGTAATGAGGTATTTATTAAACGATCTAATTACCTTCAAAAGAGTTCAAAGCTCTTTTCAAATGAGTAGAATTAATTTTCAGTCAATTTTGAGTTAACTATACTCATTTCATTTGATAAAGTTGACTGTTGGGTTTTACAGTCTATTATTTATTCATTCATTTTCTTTTTGGCTTAGAGCAGTGGTCACCAAACTTGTTCCTGGAGGGCCGGTGTCCTGCAGATTTTAGCTTCAACCCTAATCAAACACACCTGAACAAGCTAATCAAGGTCTTACTAGGTATACTTGAAACATCCAGGCAGGTGTGTTGAAGCAAGTTGGAGCTAAACCCTGCAGGGACACCGGCCCTCCAAGACCGAAATTGGTGATCCCTGGCTTAGAGGCTATCATGCTACCCACAGCGCCACCGTGACACCCATTATTATTATTATTATTATTATTATTATTATTATTATTATTATTATTATTATTATTATTATTATTATTATTATTATTATTACAAACAAGCTAGATAAAATAAGAAACAGGCTAGATAAATAAATAAATACATTAATTCATTATTTAATTAATTAGTTCATGTATGCCAAAATTATAATAACAGCACTGTGTTATGCATGATTTACATTTACATAGCTATTTTACTTTTTAAAAAACTTATTATTTTTTTTACAACATTAGTAAAATATGACCAAATGACCAAAACATGGGGACAATTGTAAATTTTTTTGTATTATATATTTGTGGTAATTATTTGTGTTTTCATGTTTTAATCAATTAATGTGAATGATAACAACATAAACTTTCTATTTCTGAAGGTTTTTTTTCTCTAAATAACAGTTTTTAGCATAACAAAACTATTAAAGCTGTAGGTTCAATCAGGCTGAGGACAAGGACAATAACAGGGTTTGTACACTTGTAAAGTGTTTTTGATAAAAATCTGAATATAAATTAAATATATCTATAAAAATACAAAATAATCAGCTAAATAATCTTTTAATATTCACTGAAAACCCCATTGTAGGGTTCCACTGCAGCTTGACATATTTGAAAGACTTAAAGAGTTCGCCCAAAACTCTCTTCATTCACTTGATCTAAACCTGTTTGTCTTTTTTAACACAAAAGAAGAAAACTGGATACCTGTAACCATTGACACACTGTAAACAAATCTGTTGTTTATTTATTTATTTATTTCATTTTTATTTTTTCTGGCACCCAG